GCAAAGCACGGCTCCAAAATAGTTTAGTCTTAAAAATCAACCAATACATCTACTATATATCTATGCATCCGATCTTGTAAGTTCATTATTGTCCAAATTGTATTTTCAGTTTTAGTATAATTTGAACTAAAAATAAAAGTTCAAACTAGATAATAATTTTAAGACAGAGGAAGTATCATATTGATAAAGAATCTCTTTCATGCATTTTTTTGATATTGGCTATCTTTGAGCATAATGTACTTTACTCCTTTTTTTTCTCTTTCTTATAGCAGTGTTAACATCGGTAACAGACTATAACTCTAAGACAAGTTTAATGAATAAGAAGTTTGAATGAAATGAAACAATCAGAAAACAGAAATCAATTTTGTAACCCCTCTCTTTGGAGTACAGAAATCAATCAGATTTCCCACAGAAAAGAAAAGGTTAAAAATACATAAAAGCCCATAGGTATTTCAAACGTCCAATAACGAAGAATGAACTATTTTGGAAGGAATCCTCGGCCCAATAATTGGTTTCAAAGATATCTAAGGACACTTGGAGCTATCGAGTTGGGCTCTGCAATAATGGTTCTTAGGCACAAGCAGGACAAGGCACAGTCTCTCTTTAAAATAGTATATGTGTGCGACTGTTCGTGTGTGTTGTTGCATTTTTACATTTAAGGGTTGTAAAAAAGAGTATCAAAAAATGAAATAAAAACATAAAAATTAGAAGAAAAAGTTGAACAAAAAAGTGAAAAAAAAGCACATGTACAGTGTGCGAAGAAGTCGATCATTAATCTTTCACAACTGTACATGTGTCAAGAATAATGATACCGTATTTGATTAAATCATATTTGACATTAAACTTTTTAATGGGAATCGACAAATTTGAATTATATACTCCCTCCGTCCCATAATTATTGTCCATTTTGTCAAAAAAATTTTGTCCCAAAATTATTATCTAATTTGACTTTTTATGGATCAAGTTACACATTTGTCCTTAGTAAAAAACATTATCCATAAAATCTTAGTGGTTAAACAATTACTTATGTAGGGGTATATCCGGTTGTTTAAGGTAAAATATAGTTAAGTTTGACCAAAAATAAAATCTTTCATTTTAGTAAAACTAGACAATAATTATGGGACGGAGAGTACTATTTATGTTTCGAAAGTAATAAGTGTGACGTCGATGCTCGCTCTTCTTCATACAGTATTTATTGCTTTCGCTTGACTATCATCGTATACAAAGATTGGCCTTTCTATTTCAAAACTATTATACCAAAATTGTTTGGGATCGAGGAGCCATTCTAGAAATATTGTATCATCCAGCTTGGGAGGATAAATTAGCTTTTGCAGCTTAAAAGTCAGAAGAGATTTCTCATTTCATTGTCCAAAGTGTGCCCCTCAAATCCAACCGCTTTCTTCCCGGCGGATTGCTCGACAAATGTTCACAATTTTACTAACAAATGCTGGGAGGGTGAGGACCCCTCTTCGTCTTCTTCTTCTTTTTCTTGCACCTTTTTTTTTTTAAAAAAAAAAAATTAATTGAAGGAAATGGTTGCTTTAAAAATCCCTATCTAATATAATAGATTCTCTAGGTTTGAATTTTTGGTGAGAGTGAAAGATCATAGGCATATATTAGATATGTTTAGACGAAAATAATGTGATTTTCCATATTAACTACTCCGAATATATGGATTCCATCAATCCATCTACGTCCACATCTCTTTTGTTAAGTCTTCAAAGAAAGAATGAATAACTAGGGGACGACTTTATCGAGGCCTTTCTTATTCGATCTTCCGATTTTCCATCATTTGTATTGCTACTCCTAACAAGTCACAAATCACAATTATGAGAAATATAAATATTTAAATTTTATTTTTATGGATCTCTCGAACAATTATTCGTTCTATTTTCTTTCTCAGGCGCCCTCAATCACTTTCTTCATGAAGTTAGTTTAATCGATCACAACTCTCAAGTTTCTCAACTTTCGTAGAGGCGTGTCAACCCCAAATTTTCTTGACAATGTCCATTATATCACATGTAATTTATAAACATAAAAATAATAATAATAATAATAATAATAATAATAATAATAATAATAATAGTGATGAAGAAAAGAAAGAGATGGGGAAGGGGGACCTGCCGGGGGCTGATGGGCTAGCTGACTGCGAAATGGAGTGTGATTGTTAGGATAAGTGAAAGTACCATTGCTCTGCTGGCTAGGACTAAGGAGCAGTACACGACTTGAAATCTATGGCCACAATTTAGGTTTGTAACCATTTTAACTTGGAAGAAACCAGAAACATAATATATTTTCTAATGGCTATGAGCCTGTGACAATGGTACAGTGACCCCCCTGTGCCCTAGAGAAACCTAAACTGGCAAATACTAGTAGCTTCAAGGACCATAAGATTCTGGTCTTCTAAGTTATATTATCTTGTACCGTTTTGCAGACTTTGTTAAAAATAAAATAAAAAAATTTATCTTGTACGTGCATGTAACAAATTGACTCATGTTATACGTGAATTTGATATAACTCCATCTCAAAATTATAGTTCAGTTTTGATTTTTATTTTTAATTCAAATTATACTAAAACTAAAATTTCAAACTAGACAAGAATTTTAGAACAGAAGAAGCATTTAATAATTGTGAATAATGGCCCCTTCGACGTGCTTGAGTCTTTTCCCAAGTTTTGCAGAATTATCATTTGATCTAATAATGCTTGGTAAAGAGGTAAGAAAAACTCTTTCACCTACGTATGGAAGAATGATACGATTTCGTTAAGCACCAAACTCACTTCGATTGTTAACCATTTTTAGTTTAGCATGGTACAATAACTTCAACTCAATTGAAGGGTTGATCCTTATAAAATGTTATCGTTATCTGTGTCGTTACTTAGTTTACAATACAACTTATATTCTTCAACGCAAAATAAAAATCATAACACAAATTCACAATCACTATATAATTCATTCCCACCCCTCACAATTACATTCCTCATCCATTTATTCACTAACTAGAGTGTCATGTTCATAATACTCCCTCTGTCCCAAAATTATTGTCCAGTTTGAGATTTCACTTTTAGTACAATTTAAATTAAAAATGAAAATCAAACTGTACAATAATTATGAGACGCGGAAGTACTAATTATTTCATTTGGGCCAAAATACAGAACTAGTATCAAATTGGACCCGAGAAGATTCTTCTAGGTTAACTTTAAATTAGCACTAGAAAGAGAGTGCAAAAAATTTGAGTTCATCCTCTAGACCTAATTTACAATAAGTTTGCACACGATGGAAGGTTGTTAACCCCTTTTCTCTTCCACGTACAATAACAAAAAAGATCAAATTCGAGAAACGTGAAAACAAAGTGCAAAAGTTGACAATATGCGCCATATGGATAAACCATGAAAGGGGTTGTTATGACAATTTTTATCATTTACTATATTAATTTAGTAAAAGACTTCACTAAAAGTATTTATTATTGCATATGCATTTTTTTAAAAATAATAGACTACACAATATAGTCATAGTCGACGGCTGGTGCAGATATGGTTTGATTTGTAGGATTAGACTTTCCCTAACCACACAACCTTTAACATTATTAGCAGTTTAGCACTGATATTGACCAAACCCAAAGACTTGAAATGAAAATAACATTACAATTTACACATAGTCAAAAAATGATTTCCCAATTCGATATGGTTAACGTAAAGTAAAGTGGATCGAACATTCTGACCTTAGTTTTCTTCACTTCAACAGTGTAGTGATTAGTGAAGATTTTGCACTTTGTTAATTTCTTCACTTCACTATAGCGTAGGCCAACATCTCGCTATCACCGGTAATTAAGATACATTTATTTTATTTTATTTTTTTTTGAGAAAAGAAGTTGAATTTTAGATGTTGGAAATCGTCCAGTTGCGATTGACTAATAGTCGTTGGAATATGCGACCAAGTGATACATTAAGAGTCAATACTTTTTGCTAGAGCCGCTAATTCATGTGATATTCTATTGTTACATCTTCGAGTTAAATCTAAATCATAGAATAGTAATTTGAAGATCATATGTAATATGCCAAAAGAAATAAAAATTAAACAAGTATTCACAAAATGGGGGAAAAAAAGGGCCAGAATCTCTCTATCATGTAATAGACTACAAAGTGATCATCAAATTCAGATAAAAGTACGTTTAAGAAGAAATTCCTTGGAGAACAAAATTAGAAAAATGGTACATCAAATTCACTTTTCAGCTCTGAGCTTCTAGTAACTACTCAATTGTAACATGCATCTTTCACAAGTCAATTTGTATATAATGTATAAATTGAAAAAGCATTCGTGTAAGAAAGCAATCTTCAATTTAGGTAATTGTCTGATTTCTACAAAATCACACACACACACACACACACACACACACACACACACACTCTTCTATGTGGATGGGATTATGTCTATTCTTTTTCTATTAAAAAAATCAATTTAATGTAACATCATCACTAATTAAGGTGTTGACCCCGAATACGTATATGGACCAAATCCCTTTCATTCATTTTTTTTTTCCTGTCATTTGGAATTGGATTGATGCATCTTAGCTAACAACCCCAACACGACTTGAAAACATGCGTAACGAATTTCATGTCGCAATTTATAATTCTCTCACTCATTCCTCAATTTAATCATTAATCCCCAAGAATAATTGTATTGTAATTAAGTGTGCAATTCAGTCAATTGTAAGTACGATTTTGATTTTGATGGATGATGATGTATCTAATCTAATCTCTACCTATAGTTGCCGCGCCTCCCCTAATCTTCTTTTCACACACATTTTGTCCATTTTTCATATATATAGTATGGAAACAGACCAAAGCGTACAAATTAATTGTTTTGTTATGATTTTCTTATTAATTGCTAAACAAGAAAAAATAAAATAAAATGATGAAAGTCTTGGCTACTACTTGTATATATAAAAAAAATATCTACAGTAGATTTTTTTTTTTTCCCCTTCACCAAGGAAAAATAGATCGGACGTACGTTGTACAAATGTATAATTGTTGTGATGAGTGACATCAATGTTGCCTGTGGTACTATATACTACGTTGCCCAATATCTACCCATAGCTTTCCTAAATTGACGAGATTTTTGTCAACCCCACTCCTTTTTCTTCACCAAGTCATGACATCAATCCCTTTTACAATTAATGTATAAATTAACAACCCTTTTTCACATTCATTTCACTCTCTCCATCATCATATATTCATCATTTATAGTGCACTATTCAATCTTTATCATGTATATATAGCTAGTTAGCTACCCCTCCATCAAAGAAATCTCACAAGTTTACAATTTTCACTCTTTCTCTTTTCTTGGGCCTTGTTTTCTCTTTGCTTAGCAATATAGACAGATTGAAAAGGAAAATGGTTGAGAACACACCAACTCCACTAATTCCAAATAATGAAATACTCCCATTGATTGACCTTAAGGGCCAAAGGGATGAGGTCTCAAAGCTTATAGTAAAAGCTTGTGAAGATTTTGGATTCTTCAAGCTCATCAACCATGGAGTTCCCATGGATGTAATTTCAAGTTTGGAAGAAGCGAGTTTTGATTTTTTCGCTAAACCATCATCTGAAAAGGAAAGGGCATCCCTTTGCAGCAATCCTCCTTATGGATATGGATGCAAGAACATTGGCTTGAATGGAGATGTTGGAGAGGTTGAATATCTCATTCTTGACGCCAAACCGGCGGCCATCACAACCTACCCTATTAACCTCAGGTACCACCTTACTATAACGCGCTTCCCATTTATGTTTCTACCGTCGTATCGATGAATTTTTAAGTATAATGATATGTACATGAAAAATTTTCCGTAAATTTCAAGAGTAATGTCTGTAAAATTGTTTAATTTGGTGGAGTTGCCGGCGGGTTAATCTTTACTCATATTTGAACGAATTTTAGATGATAGAAAATTATAAGAACAATTAATTAGTGTAACATCAATGAGGTAAAAGAATTCATATCATTGTGACTGACTAATTGAGTATTTCCCAAGCTATATTGTCATAGTGGTTGCATGTCTCTTTGAGGAAAAATTGAAAACTTTTTGTTAGTTACTTTTATGTGTTGTTTTTAACACGCACGAAATTGGTTTCGTGTGTTTTATACCATATATAGTTTAGTTGAATTTTTTTTATATTGATAATCATGGAGAAGGGGTTATCATGGCAATAAGAGGATTTTGACAAAAAGAGGAACATGCAAAGACTCTCATTAGCAGCATGCAACTGACTGACCCCATAGTTCGTAGCGTTTGTTAAAACTACCAAATGTTAGCATCCTAGGGTAACGTTCAATTAATCTATGACTATGATTCACCAGTTTGTGTGCTTTATGTGTTCAAAACTCATTGTTATCGTTGTTCCTTACCAGCAAATTGTTGTAATCTAAGTCTATTAGACTTGTATTAACAAAAAAAAAAAGAAAAAAGAAAAAAAAAGAAGCCTATGATAGCGATAAACCTTTATGATTTGTAGAAACTTGTACTTTCTTTAGCCTGTTATTAGTTTAGTTGAGAATAAACTATTGTTAAAAAAAGAAAATAAGCTTAGATAGAGAGATGAAAGAACTGAAAGGACTATGGAAAGAGAATTAGCCACTCATCTATTTTGTTATAAAAATTATGTTGAATTAAAACAGTACTCCCTCCGTCCCATAATTATCGTCCAGTTTGAGTTTTCATTTCTAGTTTAAATTGTACTAAAAGTGAAATTTCAAACTGGACAATAAGTTTGGGACAGAGGGAATACAATATACCGAGCTGTTCTCAAAAAAGAAAAAAAAAAAAAACAGTACACTATAATTAGTTTTCCGGAGCTAGCTAGCTAAGCAGGCAGCAGCAACTGTAGTAGGATCAAGAACATATGAATATAGAGCCAGCTGTAGGATCGTTTAACATGTCTCAACCATGTTTGATCTTTTTGAGGATTCCAACTCCACTCCTTTGCTTTTATAATCCAATCATTCCACAGTCAAAAATCCCCTCTCACTTTAATATTTTTTTTTCCAACTCTTGTTCATTTATTCCCCCCTCCAAATAATAAGCTATAAAAGTTACGCTCAATCTAGTTACTCATTCAAGAACATACCTGTCATTTTGGGAACATCTTGTAAAATTGAAACGATACAGATCAGACTATCATAGACCTCACATCCAAAAATCGAAAAATTTAAAGAGTGGCATATTAAACAGTGTTTGACGCGCTTATTTTCTCGAATTTTTGAGAAAGAAACGGGAAGTTTAATTGAAAGGAACCAATGCAAAATGTAATGCAATAACATGTGATTTTGTGGTAACACATAAACAAAAGTACATATAATATATATGATGCAAGTAGGAGCTAGGACGAGGGACCATATTCTTAGATCAACTAAAGAACTCATATATCAACATCTTATAGAATCCCCACAAAAGGTTGGTTTGATAAGGAACGATCTCTAGAAAGATGTAAACGTGTTAGGTTTTTTATAACTAGCTATTCATTCCTGATGTCTCTACACATCTTCAATGTTAGAGATCTTTGGTACGAGGCCTATTTTCACCATTCATGAATACATCATACCTAAGTACTATTCACACACACATTCGCACACACATAACTTGAAATTCTCTCTGTTACAATATACATAAAAAAAATCTATTTTATTAAACTAAAATACTAGGACTATTTCTGTCCCAAAAAAATACTTCAGATTGAGTTTTAAAATTTATATTATAAATTTTAAAACTTAAAGTAAACTATTTTTTTTTGTAACGGAGGGAGTATGACAAATTGATTCATTTTTCTTAGTTTCTTTGAAAATGTTATGTATATAATCGAAAAGGAAAACGGAACAAGTTAAAGAGAACAAGTTGGCGATGTATAGTTGTATACAATAATTTGATGCACTTTTCGTGAAGTAGAATGACAAGTCAAAGAGGCATGATGATGAAGAAACTGACTGATGAAAGTCCAATCAAATCAGATAAAAAGATGATTAAAAGTTTTTTTTAAAAAAAAGTGTCTGAAACTCTGAAGTGGAAGCCTCCCAGATATGGGGGAATGAGCTTTATCACCTCTTTTTTTACCAAAAAGAGTTATATACCCCATTTAACCCTTTCCATTCACCTCAAGAAATTTACTAAACTTTCCTATCCTATCCAATTAGGCCATAGTCACTTCTGCTTGGAATGTGGTCAGAGTTGGTAAAACTTATTGTCACGTGTTAAGTGGATGAGTTATTTATTTATGTAATACTTTTTCCGTCCCATAATTATTGTCTGGTTTGAGTTTTTATTTTTAGTTGAAATTGTATTAAAAATAAAATCTCAAACTGAACAATAATTTTGGGACATGGAGAGTAGTTTTTTTTTTTTGGCTTTAAAAAGAAAAGAAAAGAAATGAGCTTATAATGATTTTTTTCTCCACGAAAAGTGACTGTGATGATAATCAGTATCGATCGATTGTTTGTGATTGATTAATCATTATTGTAAATGTTAACCAATAAAGGATTACAACTTGTATAGTAAAAAAAATTCTCCTCCCCCAACCATATCATTACTTTTTCTCCATATGACTATTTTCTTGTTAAAATTGATTCCAATAATTAAAAATCATAATAAACTTGATTTTCAAAGTAACTAGTAGGTCACATTTTGAGTACATGTGGACTATTCAATAAAATTTATCATAGAAATGCTTAGTCTTGTTGACGTTCTTCTTATTTAATTCATCAAAACAGTTGAATCTCAAAGTAGCAATAAACGTCACAATTTTTATTCTTTTCAACACGATGAACACGATCAACATATAACGTTGAATATTACATTAATCACTTTGATAAATTCGTTACGTATAATTATAAATAACTCTTCAGAAGGATTATTTCATATATTTTAAATTGTTTGTTCGGATAATTTATTTTGGAACAGAAAGCCTATCATTTTTCAATAAATTGATACTCCTATATCATAATTTTTGGTTTTCTCTTTGGTGGGGACAGGGATGCAGTGAGTAGTTATGTAGAAGCAGTTAGGGAGTTGGCATGTGAGATATTGGATCTCATGGCAGAAGGGCTGGGGGCCCAACAAACCTCAGTCTTCAGCAGCTTCATCCGGGCCGTCAACTCCGATTCTCTCCTCCGCCTCAATCACTACCCTCCTCTCCGGGATAGGGACACGTCACCCTCCACCGGCAACGCCGCCGCAGCGACGGCCTCCGCCACATCCGGCGCCGACGGCGTCTGCAACCGAATTGGCTTCGGAGAGCACACTGACCCTCAGATCTTGACCATCTTGAAATCCAACGGTGTGGGTGGCCTCCAAATCTCGGTCCAAGATGGAGTGTGGGTCCCTGTCAGTCCACATCCCACTGCCTTCTTTGTCAATGTTGGTGACGTGTTACAGGTGGGTTCCACTTACTATTTTCATTTCTTTCCTCATTTCTAAAACTTATTTTTTAAAAAAAAATTAACAATATTATTTTTCAGTTAAACTTATTTAAAAAAAGATTAACAATTTTATTTTTCAGTCTCAAAATGAATGTTTCCTTCACCAAGAGCGATTAATTTTATTATTCCCTTCCGGATAGCGCATGAAATTCTTTTTAAACCGGAAAAAAAAACATAAGTTGCATATTATGTAATGAATGAATATATTGAAGACCAAAAAACGAAAAATTAAAAATTAAAACATACTCCTGAGAATCTTTTTCTTAAAAAAGAGGAAGTAAAACCCAATTTCACTCCTCAATATTTTGCAAACACTAGTTTTTGTTTGGACATGTAAATTTAGGATATATTATGAATATCACAACATGTGACATAAAAATGTTAGGGGGTCTTCTGTCATACACATCAATATGTTAGTACTGTTTTTCCCTCAAAAAAAAAAAAAATCCTTAATACTCTTCCGACCCATAATTATTGTTCAGTTTGAGTTTTCATTTCTGGTTGAAATTATATTAGAAATAAAATCTCAAAATGGATAATAATTTTGGGACAGAGGGAGTAATAACATTAAGGGAGCCTTTTTTAAGAACGAGAACTCCTTCCATCCCAAAAAGAAAAAAAAAGAAAATTAAGGGAGTGCTTGAACTCTATAACATTGTTCGTTCCCATGAAGGTTTCTTTATTTATTTATTTATTTTTATTTATTTGATATTTTGTCCATCTCAAGATAGTTGTCATATTTGCGATAAAATTAAATAAGATAAATACAATAATTATTTTGGGACGGAACGTATATTTACATTATTTATAACTAGTCAAAGTCGAGCATGTTAATCATGCCCATGTTGATAGTAAAGGCTGCAAACTGAAAGTCACAGAAAACTCTGGGGAAAAATCAGTCGGAACTGATGCAACATAACAGCCAATTCTTTTGAATCGGATTGATGTGAATTGTTGATAAAAAAAAAAATAAAAAATGCTGTACAATAATTTCATTATCACTACTTTTTTGACTCCGCAATTCTCCAATCAGGCCCGACCTCATCAGTTCTCTTCCAATCAGATTTTTCCTTCATTTATTTTATTTTCCCTCTTCAAATCAGCCAATTTTTTAAAATTACAAATTTCGGGGACTTTTTGCTCAGCTTTTTTCTCTTTATCCTGCTTTTTCTCGATGTCCCTCCTTGGGGAACAACTTCCTCCAGGAATTTACCAGTTTTCTTCGATCTTATCTCTATGACTAATTGCCCTTTTTGATTTGCATGACTAATATTATTCTGGTGCCAGAATTATTGTTTAATGTAAATCTTTATTTTTAGTTCAAATTGTACTAAAACTGAAAATGTAAATTGGACAATAATTTTAAACAAACGGAGTACAAAGTTTTGCTTCAATTCATGACCACTATTATCTCAATATTGTAACTCAAATTTGGCCTCTCTGAAAATGCATAAGCTTTAATTGGTCTAAGATTTCAAGTTTAGGTTTGGTTATGTAAGCAAGCTTGCTTCTTTTTTTTGGGCATATAATTAACCAAAAAGCTAAGGCTATGACTTTTTTTTTGGTCGAGATGTATGATTCATTAGCTAGATTTGATTCTAGAACATTCAAATTACAGATACCAAGTTGAAAAATCAATCAAGAACACTTTAAAGTTGAAAAACCAAATAGAGACGCAGGTAACACCAAATTTAAGGACAAATTAGTGTCATTAGACCAGAACTTTTTTTAGTAAGTTACATAGATTATGAATTTATGATGTATTTTTAGAGTAAATTTTCCGATAGTTAAACTTTATGATCTACTGATTTAAATTCTAGACTAAATCATATAGTACCTATGTCCTAAAATTATAATCCAGTTTGATTTTTTACTTTTAGTTTAAAGTTTACTAAAAATAAAAATTCAAACGGGGATAATAATTTCAGGACAGAGAGAGTACATCATTTGCTTCACTTCTGTTGTTGATAATGTTGACTGTATTGAAGGCTATGACGAACGGGAAGTTCTTGAGCGTGAGACATCGGGCTATGGTGAACTGGCAGGAGTCTAGAATGTCAATGGCCTACTTTGCATCCCCATCACTGGACTCTAGGATCAGCCCACTTGCTCATTTGGTTACACCCAACAGCCCGCGGCTTTACAGATCATTCACATGGGCCGAGTACAAGAAAGCCACTTATTCTGGCCGCTTAGGAGATAGCCGTCTCAATTTGTTCAGGATCCAACCCGGCGATGAAACTGCTGCCAAACAATAATTTATTTACTGAATCCTTCACTATTTTTCATTGGCCGGAAAATGTTTGAAAAATTCTTTTCTTCCCCTAATTTTGTAGAATTCTAACTAAGAGTTTAATTTAGTGTTTTTTCTTTTTCCTTCTTGGTTCTTCTGAACTTTCTCTATTTCACCACTTAAGGGGTTCCCGTTAACTTCTAACCACTTGACTCAATAAAACTGCTACTAGCGTGTTAGTTTGGACTTTGGAGTTATAAGACATGTGATTGATTGTAACATTTGATATTTGAGCTATTATTGTGTACTTTTTGAGATTCTTGATGTTTCTTCCAATACTACATTACATTTTCACGTGTTTTTGTTTTTGTTTTTTTTTTTTTCTGGTTATTTGTGCAAGGAAAACGCTGGAATTAGTATGGTTTCAGCTTGAGAAGGAAAGCCGGAAATTCCTATGGCCCGATCATCGGTTCTGACTTGAAGTACTTAGTAATAAGATGATTAATGAAATTAACTCAAGCTGTAACATGGTAATGCGTTTTTTTTCGTGTCGATATAAATGGTAATTATTTTTGAATAAATTCAGTATTGACATGATTTGATTTCATTGAAATTTACTCAAAATTTATTGAACAATTCCTTTTTGTTTGGGTTTGGGCAAAGCATTAATTTTAGTATCATTCATCAAGGCCCCTAAACTTAGGAGATAGATTTTTAACACAAAGCATTCGTGCATGATTAGTAGGCTTATTTGTAGTTGAGGCAGATAAGTGGATTAAACAAAGAAAGTTAATTAGTCATTCATTATTTATCAAGAAATTATTCAGCGCAGATGGTGTACCACGTAGGATTGTGCAGCTAGACACAATAATAGGGGTAAAGTAGTAATTTTGGGGGGAGAGAGATAATTTCTACGGAAGATATATCACCAAAAAAATAGGAGGTGCTAATACTTGCTGCACTAAAAACCATGATACATCAGCTGTATCCAATAATTTTTCTCTTTATCGTAGTTGTTGTGTTGCCATCATCTTATTAGGGTTGACATTGATCTTTTCTTACTTGAGAGGGAAATCATTTTCACGAACAGAATACTTTTTGGCAGATGCGATCATTCAAAGCTCTAAATGACCTTTGCAAAAGTGTTTACAAATAAACAAAACTGATTGTCAGTAGTGATTATACATGTTATAAATAAACAAAACTGTATCCTTAATTTGTACATCTTCAAGAGAATGTGCTTCATTTAGTATAATCTAGTATTTTGTTTCCCCATAGGAATTCATTTCCACCTGATGAAGGCAAAATTAGGGTTTCGAATGATGGAATTATATGAACAAGAATGGCTGTCGATCAGTCGTCAGTTATTATGCTTATCTTCTTCGATATGGCCACAACATCTCTTGATGAATTTGCAATCGCCATTCAATTGATATTTGAGGGGAAATATGGGGGAAAAAAAGAAGAAGCTAGAAATCATGCTTCCGGAACTTGGGACCAAAATTTACAATCAGGTCTCTAAATTTTGACTAATTAATGTTAAATTGCTGAAGGTTAATATTTCATTTTTACCTGTAATGACCTGAGATATTGAAATTTTAAGTACACATATCAATTAATTATAATTGTTGTAATTGTAGAATACCAGATATATAGGCATCATTGAAAAAGTTTCTGTGCTCCTAAGATCTCTGGAGTAATGGGTAATTTCATTTTTCGCTATGGAAAACAAATAAAAAGGACAATTTGATTAAGGAATTTCAATATAAGGGCAGAAAATTTATTGGGTGTACCCGGGCACCATAGTCCCCCTCTTATTTTTTGCACTACTAGTCCTTATTGTACTTTTTTTTACTTTTTCTAATAATCTTCTTATTATTTGCAAGTTTAGTTCCTGTAACTTTTTTTTCTCTCTCATCTCTAAAAACATCTCTAATCTTTAAACGAGCATATCTCTCAATGCGTAAAGAATTTGTAAACAAATTATCTATGAAATTTATAGTACTCGTCGAGATCTATCCAACAAGATCTATAGTGAATATTTTTTCCGAGCTTAAAAATAATAAAATTCAGATGGGCAAAATGAAGATGGATATCCAGTTTTACAGGATGGATAACCCAATTCATTTTAAATTGGTTATCCGTTATGTTTATGCTGATTATCCGACCGGTTTGAACTGGTTATCCAACTTGTTTGTACTGGATATCCACCCATTTGGGTTGTATGCTTATCAAACTTGTTTGTAATAGATATCCCACTTGTTTGTATTGGATATCCATTTCGTTTGTACTGGATATCTAACTCGCTTGTACTGGATATCCATTCATTTGGTTTATATGCTTATCCAACTTGTTTTGTAGTTGTAATCCAACAGGTTTGTATGCATATCCAACTTGTTTGTGCTGGATATCCAACTCGCTTGTACTGGATATCCAACTTGTTTGTACTGGATATCCATCCATTTGTTTGTATGTCTATCCAACTTGTTTGTACTGGATATCCATCCATTTAGTTTGTATGCCGATCTAACTTATTTGTACGCACTGGATATTTATCCAACTTGTTTGTAGTGGATATTCATCCATTTGGTTTGTATGCCTATCCAACTTGTTTGTAATGCATATCCCACTTGTTTGTACTGGATATCCATTTGGTTTGTACTGGATATCCAACTCGTTTGTACTGGATATCCATCCATTTGGTTTTTCTTTTTATTGTTATTTTTTTTGAAAAAAAGAAATGGTTGTCCAACGTGTTCGTATTGATTATCCAACTGTTCTGTATAGATTATCCGACCATTTTTTTCTCTACTCTTTGCGAAAATCCTTGTCCAGTTTTTTTGTACTGACTATCCAACCATTTTGTATGCCTTATCCAATCGTTTTCACTGATTATCCAAACATAATTTCTCTTATTTTTTTTTTCTTCTTTTGAGAAAAAATCTGTCCAATGTGTTCATACTGATTATCCATCTGACTTCTCGGTGATGGATGGTTATCCGACTTTTTTTTTCCTTGCTCTTTTAATGAAAATGATTGTCCGATTTTTTTGTACTGGTTATCCAACCAGCTTGTACTACTTATCCAATTATTTTCAATGATTATCTAAATTATTTGTAATACTTATCCAAATATTTTATTTTTTATTCTTTTCTTCTTTTTTTTTTTTGAAGATAAGTGAATGTAAAAAATGTGAGTGGATAACAAGTACAAACAAAATGGATAATCAGTCCAAGCAGGTTGGATAGATCTCGTCGAGCACTATAAAAAAAATTCTTATATAATTCGTGTTCTAATTCTTTACGGATCAAGAAATATATGTAATACAAGAATATCAATATAAACTAAGTTGGTTATCCATTTTCTTTTTTGAAAAGTGAATGTAAAAAATATGATTGGATAAAACAAAATAGGTAATTAGTCCAAAACGGTTAAATAATCAGTATGAACACAACGGATAATCATTTTTCAGTTTATTCATTTCTGCCCGTAATATTAAATTCATTTAAAGTTCAAAAGAAATATTCAACATTGATCTTATCGGATAGATCTCGTCGAGTACTATAGATTCATATATAATTCATGTTATAATTCTTTACGGATCAAAAAATATAAGGAACACAACAATATGAATGTAAAATAAATTGGTTATCCATATTCTTAAACTGGATATCCAATGTGTTCGTATTGATTATCCAACTTCTTTATGGTGGTTCCACTATTTTTTTTCCTTGCTCTTTTATGAAAATGATTGTCAAACTTTTTTGTACTGATTATCCAACGTGTTGCACTGATTATCCAATTATTTTCTATTAATTATCCAAATTATTTGCAATGCTTATCCAATCATTTTTTCTTTTTATTTTTTTGAAGAGTGAATGTCAAGAATATGATTGGATAACAAGTACAAACAGAATAGATAATCAGTCCAAACCGGTTGGATAATCAGTAGGAATACAATGGATAACCATTTTTCAAAGAAAAACGAAAAACACATTTCTTTATTTCTGCCCGTAAAATTTAAATGTATTTAAAGTTCAAAAAAAATATTCAACATGGATCTTATCGGATAGATTTCGTCGAGCACTATAAATTTCATGCATAATTTGTATTCTAATTCTTTACGGATCAAGAGATATATGCAATACAAGAATCTTAATCTAAACTAAACTGGTTATCCATCTTTCTAAACTGGATATCCATCTTATTCTGACCATCGAAATTTAGTCATTTTTAAACTCGAAAAAGATATTCGACATTGATCTTGTTGGATAGATCTTGACGAGTATAATAAAATTCATGTGTAACACGTTTTCTAATTCTTCACGGATTGAGAGATATGATCATTTAAAGATTAGAGATGTTTTTTAAAGGAGAGAAAGAAAATCAAAGAGACTAAACCTATAAATTATAGGATGTTATTTAGAAAAGTGGAAAAAAGTGTAGTAAGGACTAGTAGTATTAAAAAATAGGAGGGGGAGTATGGTGCCCCAGGTATATTGGATAGAGACTCTATGGGCATAATATCGGACGTCAGTTCTGATACGAACATGTTGTACTGATGGAAAGTAAAGGGGGTAAGAAATCTTCAAAAAGGAAAGTGTAGATATTTCACCTAGAGCGTGAATAACAAAGAGGGGAAAAAAATATTGGATTTGCAAAAATTTACTTTTGTAAAATTCATCTGTGTTACCCCCTCTCTCTATATATGATGGATCAAGTCCTTTCTCAAAGTATATTTATCAATGTCTCTTTTTCCTTTATTCTTACATTTATTTTTTTTTGGGTTGCGTATTTGCTAATAAAATATGTTGACCAAAAAAAAAAAAAACCAGATGCATGTTTACAGTTTCGTATGTTGTTGCTTCATTGTATTTGATTTTTATGTTCATAAAAAGTGCTACTGCTTTTGCTGCTTGCCGGTCGAATTAAGGCAAAAGGTTATGTTGGTATAAGTTGAAATTTTGTTATGAACTAACAAGGATTTGACGACCGTACGTAGATTCTTTTTTGATGTCTTCGAATTAATTGTTTTCCGCTGCAAATTATTGAGATTCAATACTTTTGTACATTTCGTATAACAATTATTTTACTGTTTACGGTTTGCCGGTCGAATTATTTTATTTACCGTTTCAAAAAATAATTATTTTATTTGTCTCGTCCAAGTTTGTTCTCTCTTCTTTTTTTTGGGGGGTTAATTTTTATTTTAATCAAGATTTGATAGACATATGAGCATATATAGGATATGAGTAGCTTGTGCTTTATAACACACCACGTAGCCAGAAAAAATTTCAGGGGAGGGTTGTTAACTTTTTTTTTGATATTTATTTTATTAGTTTGCTATCCTAAAAATACAATTGGATGAGATAGTAAAGGTAGAGGATTCATACGACGACGAGAGGGATCAAACATAAAAGGGTAAGAGGTAGCATTTCAACAGAAAAACTAAAAGAAACATCAAAGTACAATCAAACAAAGTTATGATTAGAAATAAATCATTCAATACTCGCAGTTATACATTATTAGCAAAATAATAATTTGTAATCAATTTTTTTATACTTTTCTTAGTTGGCCCAATCAGTATCAATTAAAAGATTAGTTAGGAAAGTTTTGCCGTTGAAAATGTATCTAATCGACTCAAATTCAAATTCATTTAAATAATAATGTTACATATTGGATGCGTAATGTAAAAATTAAAGTCGAGATTTTGTCAATTCTCTCTTTTTTCTAAATTTCCAGAAGATTATTCCATACATATATGATGTGTTTATGTGTTCCTTGACAGATTTAGAGATGGAAGAAGAAAAGAGTGACATATCAGGTGTTTCAGATAGCAACAATTCTAGCCCTATTGCGATAAGGAAAAAGCACAAAAGAGAAGTTGAAATCCGGTCAATTTTTCCACCAAAAAGATTCAAAGGCGTGGTTTTCCAACCAAGTGGGCATTGGGGTGCACAGATTCATTTAAATGTTTCTAATCGACTCACATTCAAATTCATTTAAATAACAATGTCACATATTGGATGCATAATATATAACTCGTAATGTAAAAATTAAAGTCGAGATTTTGTCAATTCTCCCTTCTTTCTAAATTTTCAGAAGATTATTTCATACATATATAATGTGTTTATGTGTTCCTTGACAGATTTAGAGATGGAAGAAAAAAAGAGTGACATATCAAGTGTTTCTGATAGTAACAATTCCAACCCTATTGCGATAAGGAAAAAGCGCAAAAGAGAAGCTGAAATCCGGTCAACTTTTCCACCAATAAGAATCAAAGGCGTGGTTTTCCAACCAAGTGGGCATTGGGGTGCACAGATTCATTTAAATGTTTCTAATCGACTCAAATTCAAATTCATTTAAATAATAATGTCATATATTGGATGGATAATATATAACTCGTAATGTAAAAATTAAAGTCGAGATTTTGTCAATTCTCGCTTTTTTCTAAATTTCCAGAAGATTATTCCATACATATATGATGTGTTTATGTGTTCCTTGACAGATTTAGAGATGGAAGAAGAAAAGAGTGACATATCGGGTTTTCGATAGCAATGAGTTCCAGCCCTATTGAGATAAGGAAAAGGCGCAAAAGAGAAGCTGAAATCCAGTCAACTTTTCCACCAACAGATTCAAAGGCGTGGTTTTCCAACCAAGTGGGCATTGGGGTGCATGATTCATTTAAATGTTTCTAATCGACTCAAATTCAAATTCATTTAAATAACAATGTCCCATATTGGATGCATAATATATAACTCGTAATGTAAAAATTAAAGTCGAGATTTTGTCAATTCTCCCTTCTTTCTAAATTTTCAGAAGATTATTTCATACATATATAATGTGTTTATGTGTTCCTTGATGATTTAGAGATGGAAGAAAAAAGAGTGACATATCAAGTGTTTCTGATAGTAACAATTCCAACCCTATTGCGATAAGGAAAAAGCGCAAAAGAGAAGCTGAAATCCGGTCAACTTTTCCACCAATAAGAATCAAAGGCGTGGTTTTCCAACCAAGTGGGCATTGGGGTGCACAGATTCATTTAAATGTTTCTAATCGACTCAAATTCAAATTCATTTAAATAATAATGTCATATATTGGATGGATAATATATAACTCGTAATGTAAAAATTAAAGTCGAGATTTTGTCAATTCTCGCTTTTTTCTAAATTTCCAGAAGATTATTCCATACATATATGATGTGTTTATGTGTTCCTTGACAGATTTAGAGATGGAAGAAGAAAAGAGTGACATATCAGGTTTTTCTGATAGCAACAGTTCCAGCCCTATTGAGATAAGGAAAAGGCGCAAAAGAGAAGCTGAAATCCAGTCAACTTTTCCACCAACAGGATTCAAAGGCGTGGTTTTCCAACCAAGTGGGCATTGGGGTGCACAGATTCATTTAAATGTTTCTAATCGACTCAAATTCAAATTCATTTAAATAACAATGTCCCATATTGGATGCATAATATATAACTCGTAATGTAAAAATTAAAGTCGAGATTTTGTCAATTCTCTCTTCTTTCTAAATTTTCAGAAGATTATTCCATTCATATATGATGTGTTTATGTGTTCCTTGACAGATTTAGAGATGGAAGAAGAAAAGAGTGACATATCAGGTGTTTCTGATAGCAAGAATTCCAGCCCTATTGCTATAAGGAAAAAGCGCAAAAGAAAAGCTGAAATCCGGTCAACTTTTCCACCAACAAGATTCAAAGGCGTGGTTTTCCAACCAAGTGGGCATTGGGATGCACAGATCTATTATGCTTATGAACGCATTTGGTTAGGAACCTTCAAATCCCATGTTGAAGCTGCAATGGCTTATGACAGTGCCGCCATTAAACTCCATGGAGAAAATTCCCAGAGAAACTTCCTATGGACAAGCATCACCATCCAAGAGCCAGTTTTCCAAAGCCATTTTAGTACCTCTCAAATGTTGGCTATGATCAAAGACGGTTCTTACCCGGCCAAATTCGCCGAGTATTTGAGGAAAACATCGAGAAGTTACCTTCAACCCGGCCTGATTTTCGCGTAAATCCTGATGATTTAGGGTTGGTGTCCTCCAAGAAATTGTTCCTGAAGAAGCTTACTCTTAGTGATGTCGGGCAATTGAATCGCTTAGTCATCCCGAAAAGATGTGCAATGAGGCACTTCCCTCAAATTTCGAAAAGTTTGATTGAAAAGGAACATAATGGTATGGTGGATGACGTAGAATTGGAATTTCTTGATGGTTCAATGAGGTCATGGAAGTTTAGGTATTGTTATTGGAAGAGTAGCCAAAGTTTTGTGTTTTCTAGGAGATGGAATAAGTTTGTTAGGTACAAAGGGTTAAGAGGAAATGACATGGTCATTTTTTCACAAGGTGAGTACAAAGATGCTTATTCAAATGAGATGCATTCCATATTCATGATTGATGCTAGCTATCATCATGATAATGATCAGCTTGATGTTGGGGGAGATTCAGAATCGAAATCAACCAGCCGGCCAGAAGAAGAATCCGATGATGGTGATGATCTTATTCCTGAGGTGGAATTGGGGAACGGTCCTGCAGTACCTAAGCAGGGTTTTAGACTCTTTGGTGTCCAAATCATTTGATGGGGGTCATCTACAATGCAGCGACTAGATTAGGGTTTTTTTTTTCTTTTTTTTTTTTTTGTGGTACAAGCTAGATTATAGTTTTTTCTTCTTTTGCGTAGGGTTTTGACTTTCGGCGATAATAACTAGTCTGCTGTCTAAGTTACATATAATTCGATGAGGATTTGAAATAATATTTAGAAGTTGAGCACTTCCACCCTCCCCCAATAGAGGGTTTGACTTAATTAATATATTTCATTGTTCTGATGATCAGGTTATGCTACCAACTTTTCGTTTGAGTGCCATTGAGAAGTTGGCCAAATGGGAGGAAAGTCTTTCAATCCAAGGCTCTTGCGATTTAAATGTTCGGACCTTGATTTTACTTGGTAAGCATCAAGATTGGCAATTGCATGTAGAGACGAGGTTTTGCAAGTTTGAGGAAAGAAGGAGATACATTTTGATGGTCTTAATTCTTAATCAACTCAAAGTGGTCATTGTGTTTTGTCCATTATTTCTAAAATAACTTATCAGCTACAAACAACGCTCTTTGAGTTATGTTTTTTTTTGGAACCTTTTACTGATCACAGTGATCTTCTGTGAGGTTCTAAGGCTATATCTATTAGGACCTATTATGCTCATGAGAAAAATTCACGAAGAAACAAAATTAGGGGAGTTAATTACTACTCCAAGTGGGTTGCTTTTGAGTTTTGACACTGCAGTTATGGAAGCTGTATCATGATCCTGAAATATGGGGTGATTATACTAGTGGTTAAGTGGCTGTCTTTTCTGATAATAGATCAGGTTCGATTCTCACCAGGGGTTGTAAAATGGATCTACTGGGGTGGATTTTTTTTTTTTTTTTTTTAAAGTTCAAGCAATAAAGATTTAAAAATGGGATTTCAAATGCAACTAAAAAGGAAGGGCAACATGTTGCATTTTCCCCCTTCAGACGGGGTTCTCGAATCTGCATTTGGACAAAACTTTGCTATGGTAGAAACAAAATAACTTATGGCCATGGATTTGCAATGTTTCTCCTCCCAGCTTTCCCCATCTTACATTCATGCACGTCAAAAACTAAGTACTCTATAACCTCGTCTTGGTGCATGCCAATCTAATTTTCCATAATTAAACTGTAATGGTTTCAACTTTCAAGGTAAGTTGTTGCATAATAATAGTGGCCTTATCATGCAATAACTATCCATAATAATTACATGAGATCGAGAGTTCTTTTATAACAAAAAGAAAAAAAAAAAATCATCCCGAGTTATAACTCTTTAGTGATAGCGAAGTTTTGACGATTAATTTGCAAAATGCCCTTATCCCGAGTGAGACACAAGAAATTATTTCTTTACTACTAGCATTATTCCCCACCTTCGAATCCTGCCAACATGATTAAAGTTAGAAGGAACGATATTAGAGAATTACATAATCTAGCATATAATGCATGTTGTTGTAATAGTTTAGGTATTTTTAATTAATATACAGGTACCATTTTTTTTTAAAAAATCTACTTTAAATTTACATTTAATACCAAATTATTTGGGAAGATAAGGCTATTTTAATTAGTTCTCTAAAAGCTCATAGTTTTGACGATTTCATAAACCTATAACCCTATTGTTACCTACATGATTGTTCCTTTGATGGTTGATGACTTCAAGCCAATGCTCTAGCTATAACTAATTCATTGAACCACAGCTTTTTTTTTTTTTTTGATAGATAGATAAGTGAACGAATGGTTTTTTTTTTTTTTTTTTGGCGGACATATGCAGAATGTTTTGTTAATCACCATCCTAATCTCATGCTCATTATTTTTAAATAAATAAAATAACCAAATTAATCCCAGATTCCACCATAAAATTCTCCTACCGCAAATCGAATGTGAAGAAACTATTAATACTTCTTGACCAAATCGACAGGGAGACTAATCGTCCAAACTTGTGAAAAGACTAAAAAGTTAATTAATCGCAATTGCAAAAAGTCATTAGGGTTAAGCATTAGTACCATTCAACGTCTTTGTCATCGTCGAAAGGGAGTGAAAATGATTTGACTAGTTTATGAATGTAATCAACTTAATACTCCATAAGTCTATTGATACCTTTATCCTATTGATGAAATAATGCTCTAACAACTTTAAATTACTTCATTACAAAATAATACTTCCGCAGTCACACTCTACTCTCTTTGTCTATTTATAACAAAGTAAACAATCAAAATGGGATGAAAAAAACAAAACTTGTGCATTAATTAAAATCTTTAAAGTAATCATAATTGTCTAATTGCAAGTTGCAAGGATCCAAAAGGATAATATTGTCTAGCGAATGAAAATTTATGCTTACAAGTTACAATATTAAGTTTATCCTTGTTTTGACGGGGAAAAAAATGAAAAAACCAATGCACAACCACTGTAAGCTTAAAACAGTTCACCAAGCAATTCTGACAATACGACCTATTCTTTTCCCAGACCTAAAGTAAAAGTAAATATTTTTTTACTTTAAGAACCAAAAATTTTTATTTTAGACAGATTAAATTTAGTCGATGAAAAAAAACAAAAAAAAAGCTCTAATTTTAACAATTTTCTCAAATTCAAGCAACTATTTCAACGAAATTTCTGAGAAGGTTGATGATTATTAACTCGATCAGTCTCTTTGTAGCATTCTCTGTCCAGTTAATGCAATATTTGTTTAGATTTTAATTGATTCAATATCCTAATGTTGTAGTTAGGGCATTTTTTAATAATAAAAATCATCACGCCAAAAAAACGATGTATGTGCAGCCGCCGGTTCAATGCAGAAAAGTTAACTATCAAAGCGTTTTAATCGCATCATCGGTTTCATTATTGTTTTTTATATGAACGTAATCATTTTGGGACAAATAATATAATGTTTTAAAATCCCAATTTCTCACCAATTTGCTTAAGATCAACCCACGCTAGCTTCAACTATAAAAGGAGTCTTCCTGATCTCTAATGTAGCATTAAACATATATTCCATTTCCAAAGATGTATTATTACTATTACACAATACTTACATTTTCAGGTGTTTTTGGCTTTTTGTTTGGTGCATGGAAAACGTTGTACTCCTTTTGTTCTAAAATTATTGTCCAGTTCGAGATTTTACTTTTAATACAATTTGAATTAAAAATGAAAATTCAAATAGGACAATATTTATGAGACGGAGAGAGTATTTGATATGGTTGAAACCTAGGAAGCTTGAGAAGCAGCTCATATCACAAGGTCTTGTTAGGAATCCCTATAGACCCATTTTTGGTGACTTGAGAGAATATCACGAGAGGCTTCAAGAAGGCAAATTGAAGCCCACGATCGATCTCTCCGACGATATTAAGTCACGAATTAGTCCTTTCTTCTTTGAAGTCATCAAGAAATATGGTATGTGAATTGTGATGGCGCACAATTAATTTCTTCTTCTTTTTTTCCCCCCAAATAAATTTCTAACGATTATAAACCTCAAATTTTTGTGAGTATGTCAATATTTTAACCATCTTGTCGGATCATGCAACCAATGTTTTTCACTTTTCACTCCTATATAACAATTCTTTGTTGTTTTATGAATATGTACGATATTAGCCTTTTGAATTAATCTTTTACAATGTTTATTTTATTTTCTGAAATTAAAAATGTTTAAGATAACCAATAGTAATTTCTAATGTTCCGAGGCTCTAATGTATTTTGTTCATTCAAAGAAATCCATGGTTTTGTCTTCGGGACTTTGTGTATTTGGTTTGGATGGGATTTTAATAAAAAGATTATTATTATCACACGGTCGGATTTGATTTTTTTTTTTTTGGAATCCAGTTTTTAAAATGTATATTAAATTTGATTTCATTAAATTGACCTGAATTTGTAAAACTTTCAGGTAATAATCCTTTTGTTTGGAGTGGACCAAAACCTGTGATGATCATCAATGATCCTAAACTTATGAAGGAGATACTTCTTAAACCCAATCTCTTTCCAAAGTCCAATTCTAATCCACTCAACAAATATTTGGCCCAAGGCTTATTTACAGCTGAGGGAGACAAATGGACTAAGCATAGAAAATTGATGAATCCTGCTTTCCATGTAGAGAAGATCAAAGGTTCTTTTTGTTTTTCCTTGTTCTTTTATTACTCTTTCCACTTTACATTTCAGAAAAATGTAACTTTACTACTTCCTCCAGTTTTTTATATGTCTTTCTAGAGAATTCATCAAAACCAAAAAAATATTAAATAATGTAGTTAAAATATAAAAATACTCTTATTTATTTTCTATACAATTCATCACAAACCAATAGAAATTCATTATGAATATTGTTTCATTCCCAATACAGGGGTAACATTAGTAAAAAGTGGTTAAATGTGCCTCGATTTGTGAAAACGACATATATTTAAAAAAATTCACCAAACCCTAAAACGACATATATTTCAAAATGGAGGGAGTATTAAAATGAGAAGAGAAAATATAATGTTATCGTAAAGTGTTGAAAGATACTAATTGATGACAAGAACGTAGATATAACACGCCAAACACATCAGTTAAGTTATTTTTGGAACAATATATATTACTAGCATATTTGATTGGTGAAAATTTATCCACCCTAATTAATTTATTACTAGCATCAATAGATTGAGATCCTAGAAAAAATAGGAGAAATTTATTGAGTGAACGAATTTCGATTCTTAAATAACTCGACTCGAATATAGATTTATCATATACAACACTTAAAATGGGAACTCTTTGTTATTGTCCATTATTTCATATGCAATTCAGAACTTTTTTGTCTTGTATTTGACAGAAATCTCTCAGAATAACTGTTCTTTTTGTTTTTTTTATTGCCTTCATCAGTTTATGTTACCAGCTTTTCGATTGAATGCCGAGGAATGTTGGCCAAATGGGAGAAAGCTCTTTCACCTCAAGGAAGTTACGAGTTAGATGTTTGGCCTTCCTTTCAAACTTTAACTAGTGATGTAATTTCTCGCACCACCTTTGGTAGTAGTAATTTTAAAGAAGGTGGAAACATATCTGATCTACAAAGAGAGCATGCTGACCATTTTATGGAAATTGTTCAATCCTTATACCTCCCAGGATTGAGGTCAGAATATTTTGTTTTTTTTGCCAATTGCTTTCCAAGTTTTTAGTTTTCATGTTAATGTGCGTTTCTTGATCATGTATAGGTTTTTGCCAACTAAGAGAAACCGAAGAATGAAAGAGATTAATAGAGTCGTTAAAATAAAAACCAAAGAAATCATTGATAGGAGAATCATAGCATCAAAACTAGAGGAGAAGAACAAAGATGAGGACTTATTAGGCATTTTGTTAGAGTCTAATGCTAAATAGATTGAGCAACAAAGAGGAATCAAGAGTTCGGTTTGAGCATTGAAGATGTTATTGAAGAATGTAGACTCTTTTATTTTGCTGGGCAAGAAACAACTTCTACATTGCTTGTATGGACTTTGATTCTACTCAGCAAGCATCGAGATTGGCAGTCACGCGCGAGAGAGGAGGTTTTGCAAATTTTTGGGACGAAAGAAATACATATGGACGGCCTTAATCAGCTTAAAGTTGTAAGTATTTATTTATCCATTGATTTATAGGATATATAAAAGTTATCCACTATACGAAAATATCAATCTTCTAAACTATATATGTTATTGTAATTTCAGGTGACTATGATCTTGAATGAGGTTCTAAGGCTATATCCATCAGCACCCGTACTTTTCAGAAGAACTCATGAAGAAACAAAATTAGGAAAGTTTAACCTTCCATCTGGGGTGCTTTTGGCACTGCAGATATTAATCTTACATCATGATCCCGAAATATGGGGCGACGATGCTAAAGAGTTCAAGCCAGAGAGATTCAAGAATAGGGTTTCAAATGCAACAACAAAAGAAGCAAAACTCGGGAGGTTTATGTTAGATTGAGTCAAAACTTAGGGGTAAAATGTAGTTTATCCAAATTTAAAATTTATTTTTGGAACAGAATTTTTTTTTTTTTTTTGGTAACGTTGGAACCCCACCAAATATGGATAAACCCACGCCCACTGCAATAACTTGCAAACCACAGTGGGAGGTAAACCATCCTAGACAAGCCCCGGGATGACAATAATTTTAACAATAAATTTAAAGATTTGGGGGAACTAACAATAATTTTAACGAACTACTACTATACTATTGTTCACCTAGCTGTTCCTCTTGATGCACATGCGTGGTGATGGTCTTGCGACAATATGTATTCCTTCAAGGTCAAAGAATTGTTTTTTTTTTCTTATTAAAAAAATAAAAGTCAGAGATTTGTTAATTAGTTAAAAGCAATCCACAATAGATATTTGTATACGAAATTCATTCATTCAAGACATAGAAATTATCTTTTGTATACATACTCCCACATATGGAATCCTAGCTCAACCGAGCATTTCATAGAGAAAATTTTCCTTTGTTATTATTATCCTCCTGGCGTATTTTAACAAACTCGAAAAATTTCCTTCTCGTATTCTTGCCTTCTTATTTTTCAGGAAAAATGTATGACTACAAAACGATACTTGCATTTTCAAGTGTTTTGACCTTTCTGGTTTGTGTATGGAGGGCATTAGATTTCTTATGGTTTCACCCAAGAAGACTTGAGAAGCAACTCAGAGCTCAAGGTTTTGCTGGAAATCCATATAAGCCCATCTTTGGTGACTTGAAAGAATATGCTAAGATGGCTAAAGAAGCTAAGTTAAGGCCGTTGACCGAACTTTCCGACGATATCCTGCCTCGACTCAGTCCGTTCAACCTTCAAACCATCAAGAACTACGGTATGTAATGATAAATTCCACATCTTCTTTAATCTATTTGGTGTTTCTTTTTCTTTTTTTTTTTTTTTGGTGGTGTGTTTTCATCTTGTTTTAAATGGTCAAAAGAGTAAATATATACAGTAAAAATTGGTCCAGAAAGATAGATCGTTATCTCAAATTAGTTTTCCATCTTAGTGACAGTAAGAAATTAATAACATTAATACTTATCGTTACGAATTAGTCTTCCAGACTTAACAAAAAAAAAAAGTCTTCCAGACTTTTGAAGAAAATACGTACTTAGAGTAAAATGTTTAAATGGTCACTTACATTTGAGCTTACTTGAATTTACATCTCTAATATTAATATTTCAATATCGTAATCCCAAATATTATGATTTCACACTTTTTTTTTTGGTCCCATTTCACTGTTTCGACCGCTTTTCCGTTCAATTCGATGTTGACCGGCAGTTAACGTGCTGGAATCAAGGGTATTTTCGTCTTTTAAAATAATTTGAACTTCCATTAAAATTTAAATCATTAAAAATATTATAAAAATTCACATTTATTATTTAATTGTTAAAATATTATTTATTAATTCAAAATATTATTTTAAATTTAAATTATTTTCAAAGTTTCTTTTTTCTTTACCATTTAATTTAATGTTAATTATGTTACACTTTTAACCCCAACCCATTATAACTTTAAAAATTTACCGAGTCACAGTAAATAATTCAAAAATAAAATTTAAAAAAAAAACAAAACCAATAAACCCTGAATTATTTCTAAAATTTTACCGCACTATAGTAATTAATTTAAAATTCAAACTTTTTTTTTTTAAAAAAAGCAAGAAAATAAAATAAATTTCAAAAAGTTGTTGGGATAGTATTACAAATAAAATAATATTATTTTTATACCACCACCTCCACACCTCCACCATCGGCTCCCGCCGCAGGACCACTCACTGCTGCAGTCGGGCAGCGACTTGGCCGGCGGATTCCGGCCAAGCCACTAGAATCTAGCCAGAATCCGGCCGGTCGGTCCCCGGCCGCCGGCGACGGGCGCCGGTGGTGCTGGTGTAAAAATAATATTATTTTATTTATAATATTATCTTAAATTTACACTCAAAAATATATTTTAAATCATATTTTCAATTCATACCAAAAACTAAAATAAACCATTTATTATTCGGATTTTCCCCCTCTCAGTCTCACTGAATTTTTTACTTTGACCGAATAAAAAATTGAAAGGTGAAAATCCAGATAAAAAGTTTGTTTTTCCTTTTGTTTTAAACAAAAAATTGAATTTTGAATTAGTTACTGTAGCGGGGTAAAATTTTAGAGTGATACAGGGTTAAAAATGAAACGTAATATTTATTTTGTATCATAAATAGAAAAAATTAATGTTTTTAAAAATGTAAATTTTAAATTTTATAATAATATTTTAAATTAATAAAATAATATTTTATAATTAAATATAAATTTTATAATATTTTTAATAATTTAAATTTAAATGAAAGTTTAAATTATATAAAAAGACAGAAATACCCCTAATTCCGGCATGTCAACTAATGGTCAACATCGAGTTTGACGGAAACGTGACCTAAATAGTGAAATGAGACCAAAAAAATTGTGAAAACATAATGTTTAGGACCACAATATTGAAATGTCAATGTTAAGGACATAAATTCAAGTAAGCCTAAATGTAAGGGACCACTTAGGCATTTTACTCACAAACTCACTGATTATAGTGATATTAAGCATGAGTTCAATTTACATTATAGTAATTTGATTTGATTAAAGTTGAACCGGAAAAACTTTTTGCAGGTAAAAATTCCTTTATTTGGCTAGGGCCAAAACCTATAATTATCATCAACCAACCTGAACTTGTGAAGGAGATCTTTCAAAAGCCTAACATATTCCAAAAGGGTTCTCGTACCATTAATCCACTCAATAAACTGTTGGTTGGCCTATTTGAAGCCGAGGGAGATAAGTGGGTCAAACACAGAAAGCTAATCAATCCGGTTTTCCATATGGAGAAGATTAAGGTTCAATTTCTTTGTATATTTATATGGATTAATTTTATTCCTATCAACACTTAACTCTTTATTTTTAAATCATTTTTATTGATTAGTTATTGCTTCAATGATCAGCTGATGCTGCCAGCTTTTCGGCTTTGTGCCAATGAGATGTTGGCGAAATGGGAAGAAATTATTTCACCCCAAGGATCTTGTGATTCAGATGTTTGGCCTTTCCTCCAAATTTTGACGAGTGATGCTATATCTCACACTGCATTTGGTTGCGATTATGAAGATGGGAAAAAGATATTTCAACTCCAAAAAGAACTTGCAGATAATTTTATGACAAGTTATCAATCCTTGAATTTCCCTGGATCAAGGTTCGACTTATACCATTTATTCAAATACATTTATTTTGGAATGGAGAGAATCTTTATTTATTTCAGTGCATCTCCAAGGCTCCTTAAAAATTGGTACAGGGAGGGGGCATAAGTTTCTTGTTTGCTTATTTTTCTTGTTTGTGTAGGTTTTTGCCAACCAAGAAAAACAGAAGAGCAAATGAGATTGAGAAGATAGTTCAAAAGAAAATCAAAGATATTATTGACAAGAGAATGAAAACAACACGATTGGGAGACGACTACGACAAGAATGACTTATTAGGCATATTATTAGAGTCCAATGCTAGAGAGATTGAACAACAAGGAGGAAAACAAAAGTTTGGCTTGAGCATTGAAGATGTCATTGAAGAATGCAAACTCTTCTACTTTGCTGGGCAAGAGACAACTTCAACGTTGCTTGTGTGGACTATGATTTTACTTAGCAAGCATCAAGATTGGCAATCACGAGCTAGGGATGAGGTTTTGCAAGTTTTTGGGAAGAATGAAATTGACTTTGATGGCCTTAATCAGCTCAAAGTGGTAAGTCCATCTTGAAACAATTATATATACTCCTTCGATCTCAAAATTATTGTCCAGTTTAAGTATTCATTTTTAGTTTAAATCATACTAAAAGTGAAATTTCAAACTGGACATTAATAATGGGACAGAGAGAGTATTTAGTATTGTTCTTTTGATTCACCACTTAAAAAAAAAGCATAAAAAAATTCAGAAACTTGTAGAATGTGACATCTTATAATGAGTGCCTTAATTAGTTTCATCATCTTTTGAATATATTTTTCTAAGTTTTGTTATTTGGTTTTGTTACAGGTGACAATGATCTTGAATGAGGTTCTAAGATTGTATCCATCAGCTCCAATAATTACTCGAGTTACAAATAAAGAAACAAAATTAGGAGAGTTTAATCTTCCAGCCAGGACGGTTCTGTCGCTACAACTATTGATGTTACATCGCAACGATGAAATATGGGGTAACGACGCTAAAGAGTTCAACCCTGACAGATTCAAAGAAGGGATTTCAAATGCAGTTACAAAGGAAGAAGCTCATCAATTGGTAGCATTTTTACCATTTGGATGGGGGCCTCGTATATGCATTGGACAGAATTTTGCTATGGTGGAAGCGAAAATGGCTCTTGCAATGATTCTACGACGGTTTTCCTTTCAACTTTCGCCATCTTACACACATGCACCTCATATGCTAATTACACTACAACCTCAGCTTGGTGCCAATCTAATTTTGCACAAACTCTAATTTCAGTTTTGAGTTTCACTTTGAAACCTAGTTGATTTTTGAAAATTAACACGAATAGTACTTATATATAGTTCATCATTGTTAGAGGTTATACTTGTAAAACTTCTTCATGAAGATGTTTGCGAGGTTCAAACACAGATCAAGGTGGGAGAAACAATTTCTTACATTATTTACATTTGCCTCCCGGCGCCAGAACTAGCCTCAAATGTTTTTAACTATCTAAAAATAGGAATACGTGACTAATATATAAGGTTGGTTTAGAAGATTCTAATATTTCTATTTTATTAAAATTATTATACAGTTTGAATTTTCATTTTTAACTTTAATAATTTTGGATAGAGGGAGTATAATTAATATTTGTGACAATATTTCTAGTCATGAACTATACGTACAACTTACAACGTTGATATATACCCGGTGTGAATAGAGTTGAAAATAAAGATAGATTAATTGAGAGTTTAATTAACTTCTATATGTAGAACTGATAATGACATTGGCCAAGAAGAGTCTAAATCTCCTGCACAAACAAAACAAAACCAAAGGAAAAAAAAAAAAAAGAGAAGAAAGAAAGTGAAAGGACACAAGAGATACTGATTTGTAAAGATGTTAATGAGTGCATTTGGAGCTCACTTTCAGGTTTTGCAAAAGTAGCAAACATTTAAGCTCTTGACATGCACCTAATTCTCCTAAAAAGTTTTGTCCATGACTTTCTCTGATAACCACAAAGCTCTAATTGCGAATTGAATAACAGCATATAGTGATTAGATTGTTGTCTTTCTTGATAATAGATCAGGGTTCGATTTCCACCAGAAGTGGTAAGAGGAGGGTTTTACCTACATTTAAGTGGGGTCCACTGGGATAGATTTTTTTAAAAAAAAAAAACCACAAAGCTCTAATTTTCCACCCAAAAATTAATTGTCTAAAAATTTGGTAAATTAACTTGTTAATTAAACATTCCCCAGACACTTCAGGTATATATAACAGGGATGTTCGTAGTTAATCTCTATGAATTACACATTACGTTACTCCATTTTAATTAAGAGGTCATTTTAAGGCATCACCAATATGTACTGTTATTACACAACACTTAACATTTTCATGTGTCTTCGGTTTTCTATTTTGTGCATGGAAAGTATTGTATTTCTTATGGTTAAAGCCTATAGGAAGATTGAGAAGCAACTCAGGTCACAAGGTCTTGTTGGAAATTCCTATAAACCAATTCTTAACTTGAAAGAATATCATAAGATGTTTCAAGAAGCTGAATCGAAGCCGATGATCGATCTCTTTCTTCCACGATATTAGGCCGAGAGTTAGTTCTTTCTTCTTTTCTATGGTGATGCTCAATTTGGTTGCATTGTTTATGTAAAATTGTAAAAACCAGGGAAGAATCCTTTTGTTTGGAGAGGGCCAGAACCTGTGATTCTTATCAACGATCCTAAACTTATAAAGAAGATATTGCTGAAGCACAATTTTTTCCAAAATCAAATTCCAACCCACTAATAAACTGGCAGTGCAAGGCATGAAGTTAAGTGGACCAAACACATGAAGTTAATGAATCCTGCTTTCCATCCAGAGAAAATAAAGGTAGCTATTTTTATTATTTTCTAATGGATAAATAGTGAATTCCGACTTAGTCGTTTGAGCAATGAAATACTCCATCGGTCCTTATTATAAGAGATTTCGATTTTATCTTAAATTTTACTTAGTAATTTTTTCAAATGAAAAAAAATCTTAAAAATATTTATAATTAATTAGGAAAACACAATTTAAGATTTTTTTTCTAATTAGAAAAATATATTAGATGAAACCTATGACAAATTAAAATACTATATAATAAGGACCCGAGAAAGTATTTGTTTGTATTTTATAGTAATACTTCTGTGTCAATTTTCTTTTATTGTATTTGTATATTAGTAAACTGTCTAAAAATACTAAGGGTGGACAAGAAAATAGATTAGACACATACAGTTAGTTTGGCTGATATTAGCCACTAACCAACTACTTGATAGAAAGTAACTCGATGAATAACATCATGTTTATAATTCACACAATATGTAAAGATTAGATGTTTTAGGTAATTAGATCTAGCTATGCAAAATACGCGTGTATGTGTTCGGACAGCAAATACATACGTCTATTTGGTTTAATGTTAACAACGGCTGGCTTTTGCGTTGCGTTAGATTGTACTTGTTTTGATATTATTGTTGAGTTTGAAATTTCATTTTTAGTACAATTTGAATTAAAAATGAAAATCCAAACTGGATAATAATTATAGGACGAAAGGAGTATATTTTTTGAACGGATGGGATGAATTATCAACTTAGCGTTCTCCCAAGAACCATGATTTGGTTTTTCACAGAAATAAGAATATCAGCTTTTGAGTTGCCAAGATCTTGAAAATTCCCAATTAGCAAGACAATCAACGAATTCTAGGATCTGAGCAAGACATGGATTTTAGTGAGTCCAGCAGGACAACAGAACAACACACGTACTCCCTCATGTTCTTATTATAAATTATTTTAATTTGTCTTACATTTTATTTAGTTTGTTCTTTTAATTAAAAATAAAACAGTAAAAATGTAATTTTGCATTTATTGTGTTCTTCCAATTATTATAAAATAAAATATGTTTATAGTTTTATTTTTAATTAAAAGAACATGTTAAATGAAACATATGATAAATGAAAATATCTTATAATAAAGACTGAAGGCAGTATTTGTAACATTTGGCTCAAGTTCATCATATTTGTTTAACACAAAATGAGGCAGTGAATAGAAATCCTCCTATTTCATGACAAACAAACCGACGAAAATGGTTGATGATGTAGAAATTATATGAAGTACATATACAACCTCCATTCAAACATGGATGGTTTATTTCATCGTTTAGATTTTGCTATAGTAAAAGTAAGTTTTGCTATAGTTCTTTGTTAATTGTACATATGAAATTAGGGATTATGTTTGTCCAATACTTCTTCCCAGGGATTCAATTTTTAGACACTGTCCACTTCCAAATGCTTTTTCCATATTGTTACATTCTAGTTTTTCCGATACTAACACAATGCTTTGCTTTTTCTCAACCCACTTTTCCGGGTCCCCCCTTGACCACCATCATAGTTGACAACTTACACTCAAAATTAGTAATTTCTCAATTCCATTGGACTTGGAATGAAAAACAATTGAATAATTAATTTCTAAAATATAAATCCAGGGTGTAATAACATAAGTTTTCCTAAAGGATATACTTTATGTGCAGACAAGGAAGTTTAACATAGATTAATCTTGCATTCAAGTAATACTACCTGCAACTACTGTATCATCCCCTTTGAAACAGAATCGATACGAATAAAGTTATAAAAAAAAAAAAAAACCGGATTTTGAGGTTCGAAGTGAAACAAGAACTTCTCCAGAAGTGAACTAAGGTTAAAAAAAGAATCAATGACAAGAAGACTAATCTAGAATTTCTAACCATGACTCTCCATAACTCAGATAGTTCTGCTCATTTGCACCTCATAGCCTAGGCGAAACGAACACGCGAACATTTAATGCGCCCGGATTTATTCAACCTGCAAACGCAGTTCTCGAGAAGCTCATAGTCTTCATTCCAAAACAACAGCGAAGCCATGTTTGGATCGTCCAGCAACATTTTTGATGTCAGGTAACCAGCGATTGTCCAAGTCTGATAAAGCCGAGATTGTTTTCCTACGAATCTTCCTTGCCTTGTGTCGTAATACTCAGGCCAATGGTCCACCGGAAGCCTTTTCTCAGCCAAAGCCAGTGCTTTCCTAGCCAACCCCGGTTTTCCCATCTTTATACAGGCGAGCGTGAACTGTAACATAGAGGATGGGGGATATAAACAGGGTTTTCACACTAGGTATTGCAAGCAGATAAAGGAGCCATTGCAACATTCTCGTGCTAACTTACTAATGATACTAGGTTATTCTCAGGAATATAGCATTCATGTGAAAATCGTCTAATTGCATCTAATTGTTTCACTAAGGAAGCTCAATCTTTGGGGAAAGAAAATCTGTAACTAACTTGGGGCCATACCTGCCATAGAAGAGTCGGCCAAGATCCAGCATTATGATACGACCATGGCCTACAGGGCAAAAAATTTCAACTTAGATACTGTACAGTTTATTTTGTAGAGATACAAACTAGAGCTATGACATACAAACTAGAGATACAAAAGATGTATTACGTATTCTTTGGGTCGCTTCCTGTGATGATACGCCATTCTTCATTCTCCAGAGCAGGATAACATATCTTAAGAGGCATGTGTGACACGAGATCGTCCCATTTAACCTCAATCATGTTCAGTATTCCTTCATTCTGTTCAGCACTTCCGAGTGATGATATTATGGCCCAAAGATTTCCCAGACTGAAGAATCTGAAATCCATATGGGCAGGCTGCAGATTCCCAACAAAGTAGCCACCAGTCTCAGGTATCCAGTCCATTAGCCAAGATGGAATTTGTTCTGGATAAATGTTGAATTTATTGATGGCCTCAAAAGAATACTCTTCTGTCTTGTAACGATATATGTCGTTGATCTTCTTCATGTCCACCCAATAATACTCTCTGATGTGGAAAGAGAGTGCACTTAATCGGCTATTAATGGCTGCAACAAGCTCTTTTGTTGAATCGTTAATTGCGAGCATCTCACGGGAGGAGCGCAAAGCAGAGTAGAACAGTGACTGCAAGGAAATATTTACAATTAACAAAAGGGATAAACCACCAAAATATCTGAAATACACAATCATCTTAACAAGACACCCTGAAACATACTTGGATTTCCAAAGGGTGGCCATGTATACCCATCCTTCTATCTATCATGCAGGACCCATCAGTTACTAAAAGAGTAGGAAACATATCAAAACCATGTGTTAGACACAAATTGAGTATTAATCTGATGCCGGTCTGCACTTCTACCCTCTCTTGCAATGAATTATCGCCAGTGATTTTTCCATAAGCTCTCAACAGAATTATCCACCACAAACCTGCCACATTTATCAGGATTACAACTTCAGCAAATAACATAAGCAGACTTAGTAGCAACTGTCTGGAAGACAAGTAAATATTTAAATTTCAGCAGACTTTGGATAAAGACTGAAAATAGAGTGATAGGTTTCGAGTGAAACACAGGCTTGAAAGGTTTTTTAAAAATCTATAAACATCAATCTAATAACAAATAAAGGCATTACAGACTACCAAAGATGAAATTACAGGTTACAGGTTACAGGCTACGAGATGAAATCTATAAACATCAATCTAATAACAAATAAAGGCATTACAGACTACCAAACGATATGAAATTACAGACTAACAAATAAAGGCATTACAGGCTACAGGTTCATTGTTTTCGTAAAAAAGAAACAAAACGAGATGAAATTCGAGCCCCTAACATCCACCAATGCATTACAGACTACCAAGTCATAATAGGAGTCAATGTGGAGGGATAAGAACTGAAATAATTCTATGATATGGTGATAAATAAATGCAAAAACAAGTCTAGCACATCCAGCAAATCGCCACTTACAAGAATCAACAGGCGCAACTCGTCCAACAGCAGATTCACCAAAATCTGGATCCAAAATGTCCTCCAATTCTCCATTTCTTCCTTCAAGCGACATAGTCTTGACTTTGAAACTGGCAGGCATCAACCCTTGTCCAGGGCTATAACAATCAACTGTTTTTTCCCAACTCTGCATGGTGATAGATGCATCATTTAAGTTTCACATAGAAAAACTACCTTTTATGTGATGACAGTGCTATAAAAACTACTATAACATCAAGTAAAGAAACAAGGCACATGATCTTTTGCAGCACTTGTACCTGAAGCTGTAGCGTGTGAAGTAGAAAGTTCTTGACGATATCTCCTTCTCCATTAAGCAAGAATGCAAGAGCTGAGGGGACAAAATCACGAACAAATACTTGATCATAGTTCAAAGGCGACGTTTCAGCTGGATCAGCAGCCGCCACAGTCCCCACAGGATGTCCACAGTAGTTCAGCACAGATCCTCGGAGCAATTTCCAAGCCTCCTTTTCCACCTCAGACAATTCTCTCTCACAGATCGATTTCAAAAAACACGACCCGGCCAAGTCTTTGTTTATAGCTTCATCTTTATTTACATTTGAACTTTCTCTAACCTCTACCCCATATTCACCAGTAGAATCATCTGTATTTCCATTTTCCATTACATTGTGGGCCTCTTCTATGGTCTCAATTACCAAAGGCTTCACATTTAAATTTCCTCTAACATAAATTTTCTCAAATCCATTCTGATTGATTCTAGTATCAACAGAAGTTGAAAGATTCCTAGTATCAGATGCAACATGAACTACACCCGAAGTAAATCTCTCACTACTCTTATAAACTGGACAACCTAATAAAACCCGAGATTGTCCAGAAAAAGGATGGGGTTTACAAAAACTACCCCGATTCACGTTATGTACATTCCTAAAAAATACCATCCCATTACTCAAATAATCATGAAAACCATTTAAATTCGGTGGAAAAGTCGACAAATTATCATTGACCAAGCAATCAAACTTCAAAACTGGTGACTCAAAAATCGATGAATGCTTACAGCTAGCTAAAATCCTATTACGGTAGGGTTTAATAGTGGAAAGTCCTCCAATACATGTACTAGTGTTCATTTCTAAACCAATTCCTGAATGTAAAAATACGAACTTTCCAGCTTCCAACACAAAATCACTTCTAAAATGGATTAACAATAGCTTATTATGCAAAACCCAGTTGGTTAATATGCTTTTTCTGGGCTCTATACAAGGACTAATGGAACAGTATTATGTACTCAACTGTCTCAGTTAATCTAGGACAATGTTGATTGAATCATTAACAGATAATATGGAAAAAGATTGAATCTTTATAGATCAGCTGAACTACCTAGATTTAAGACACTACAATAAAATTGCTCAAAGGGGATAATTATAAGTTAAAATTAGAAAAAACTTACAGTCTTGAAGCAGGATTTGGAGAGAAATGTCTGAAGTTGAAGTTGAGGAGAAAAGCCTTGCAGGATTTGAAGTTGGAGATCGGGAGGGATATTTATAGACGCGGAGAATGGGAAAAGCTGTCGGATATAAAATAAAAACCAATTTATTTTTATATTTTTCTGGATACCTTGCACGTGATGTCCCAATTTTCAGGCCTTTACTCTAATGTTACACTTCCTTGTATCAAATGAAACAGAATCTTTTTAATGCATTTTTTTAACCTATGATCTATATCTCTTACAAAATAGAGTAATTATTAGTAACATTTTAGAATGAAAAAGTAAACATATTCTAACATTTTTATCAACATTTTCGGAGTAGCATTTTTACTCTTCAATTGGAGCTAACCGTAGAACATATGTAATTAAGACTGGCTATAATACAGTAATACACATTCGATTTGACTGGTTTTTTTTTTTTTTTTTGCATTCACAAAAAATTACTATTTCAATTTCACGAAATGTCTTTGGAGCGTTGAGTATGCGAATAAGAGTCTCACGTGTAAAGTCACTCAATTGTTCAGTTTTCTTCTCGTGTAGCGGTTTGATTTTTTCATGGAAGAAACTTTTTAAAAAGCAATTGCGTGACTAAAAAAATTAAAACTAAATAAACAAAACAAAACGCTATGCTAACTTATTTTCATTAAGGAAAAAATAAAAATTATTTGTTTTACTATTTTACGCTTTACACGTTCTTCATTGACCAAAAAGACACTACTAACTGAAAAGGGGAAAAATCACTCTTTATGAAGAATGTATTTTTCTAAAAAAAAAAAAACGAAAGAAAGAACATTTTGATTATATGAGGTTGAAATCAAGGAAATAAAATAAAATTGGCGAGGGTAATACAGGGAATTTAGATGATAATAGAGCCTTCACCTTCCAGGAAGCTGGGCATGTAAATTTAATTCAAAATTTTTGGGACCATTCTTTTAGCTTTCACTATTAGTTTTGGTACATTAAAAATAAATAAATAAAAAATAAATAACAGATAAAAGGTCACACGTACGTAAACCAAATTTCAAGCGTGGAATAAGTTAACAAGTTACAAAATGTGGCCCATTTCGGTTTTGCCCAATTTAATTAACCCAATTGCTAACCATGTCAAACATTTTCTCTAAAGCCCAAAACTCCAAATCATTTCTTTGCCAAAAGCACCGATATTAGACACAGGCCGGTTTGAATCAAAGGAAGCAAACCGGGACATTCGAGGAAGTCATCTCCTTGAGTAAATTGTACTAACATTTCTTTTATGAATAATAATAATAATCTCAACGGAAATTTTAAAGAAAAATGACAGTTAAATAGGATGAAATCCCTGTCTGTCTTCCATGTATTTACACCTCACCAAGAAGGTTCATCCATTTTAAGATTCAGTTATATCGTTTCTATTAATTTTTTCCTCGAAAAATTTTATCAAGTTAAAATTTTCTATTACATTTTCTTGGGAGCACGTTAAAGGACGATAAGTGGTTCATTTCATGTTGGTCATAGCAACTATTTATTACTTTAATTCGAAGTTGTAGATATGATAATTCTAATTTACCATATTTTTTGAGATTTCAAGTATTTAAATTTTGCGTCATGTGAATAATCGATAACGTAACATTTTGCTCAAGACCAAAAAAATGGGATTTAAACTATAAAACATGCCATATATATATATATATATATATATATATAAAATGTCAAACATAAAAGGCAAAGTTGCTTAAAACGATAACAATATTTCTGAAGACCAAACATCCATAACCAAGATCTAATGTCATTTTAAATTTTAAACTTTATTCTAAGTCAAACCCATGCACAAATTAGTGAAGGAGCTTATAAAATGTGGAGACAAGAATTACGGCAGAAGGTAAAACCATGATTACTAGTTTACGTAAGCAATGATCCCACCAAGGAGACCTCCAGAACAAGTTTTCTAACACTCTTGAGGACTAATTGTAGTATAATTTTATCAGTTAACTAAGTAACTATTTATAATTACAATCATTTAGACTGATTAATCACAGTCGGCTGTGGCTTTGACAACTTGAACCCTTGTCGTCTTTATCGTGATGGATGCACTTATTAAAATTAATAATAATTAGTTATCTCATAAACGTTATGAATAATAAATATATTAAGTTTAATGTGGACTTGTAATTTGACTACTAATCCAGTTTCATTTTACTTACTTGGAAAGGGAATTAGTCAAAGTATTAGGCTGCTGCTCATTTCGCTATCTCACAAAACGGACAATAATTTTGTAAATTGATTAATTTTATTTTATTTCACCAAAACCACGTTTCAAACACAAGGATTCAAAATTGAATGAATCCTTCGTCACTAATTGGGTATCTTTAATTAATTATCTAGCTTAATCGCTTCGTTATCCAAACAGTAGGTTGATTTTTTAATATTTCTTACATCCCACTAATTACATAGTTTAATTAATTAAGCAGATGAATTTTTTTTTCTTTTTTTTGTTTTTGGTCGATCTTGATCACCCCGATGTCACAGATTAAATAAACTAATATGTTGAACGTTCCACTAACTAAAAAGGGTTTAGGAGATACATTGAATTAGTTTATTATTTAATTAAAACTTGCTTAAGCACTTCTCTGATGACTGATGACTGATGACTTAGTTATATTATATGTGTAGGATTAAAATTATGTTGGCCTTCTGGAATGTTAATTGGCGTGTAATTTTGGAAGATGTATCATATGAACAAACGTCTTTACATAATTTGACCTCTCTTGCATCAATAAAAAACTTTAGGTACTTTGTTTAGAGGACTCCTCACCAATTAGACGACCAAAATCGATTTCCATATATAATCTTTTCGTTTTAAAATAAGTATATTAAACTTAAATAAATATGACATTTTTTTAAAAAATATTTCATCGCATTACAAAAATATTGTTTCTCTCAAATATGGGAAGAAACTCTCACAATAATATACAAATTGTACTTTATCTAACAATTGGTATCTTAACACCGGAAGGGCATACAACGGGCGCAACAGGAGAAAGGGGATGTAAACATAACTCTAAACCCATCCCCTTATAAGCGACAGAAATGGAAAGTATTAATGGAGTTTATAAAAATAAAACCATCATCGCCAGTCCCACTTGAAAGAAAGAGCTTATTGAGAATTTTTTTTTATTTTTTTTTGTTTTTTTGGTGCAATAAAATTATCGACTTGACAGACATATATCAATGAATTTTATACGTGAACTTGTAAAATCACCATAAGATAGTTTTTATATAGTTTAGACTTTTTACATAGAAAAATAATACTCACTCCGGTCCTTATTATAAGGCATTTTGACTTTTCCTAAGTTTCACCTACTACACATTTTTAATTAACAAAAAAACCTTAGATATATATTTTTATATTCGTTTTGTTCTCTTGATTGTTATGAAATATTTTTAAGATTTTTTTCATCGATTAAAACTGTTGTACTAAGTTAAACCTAAGACAAATCAAAATGCCTTATATTAAGAACTGGAGGGAGTAATTCGTTCGTCAAATTATTTTAATAATAAAAACAAGATAACCAATGTTTGATAGAAAGAGGCATATATATATATATTTATATATATATATATATATATAAATTGAGTAAGCTTATTGTTTGTCCCACTAATTCGAAAAACCACAAACATTGACAAGGAAATGAATCCACAAATTGAAATCATCCTCGACCCCAAAAAACAAAACCAAAAAAAAAAAAAAGGAAGAAAAAAATAAAATAAGTACCTTAATCGTACGTACGTTCTTATCCTAAATGGATACTTAATTAATTAGCAAAAGCATTATATTGCGCTTCTTAACCAATTAAGGTTAATCCACGTGTCCTGCCGTTTTCGCTTATCAAACTTTAATCATTTACAAAGAATAGCTTGTGGAGAATAATGGATCATTTAGCTAGAGTCATTATGGAGGTGATGATGATAATCGTCACCAACAAAAAAAGTGTACATTATTCATTACTGGACTTATTGAGGAAAAACAAAACCTTGCCCTTTTATACATTTATGAAGTACATATAATTGGCAAATTCTGATAGGGTACGTAATATATTAAGCAAATTACATGGAATTGAGAGTACTTGAAAGCTTAACCACATGCTTCCATCCGTCCAAACACTAGTTCTACACGCATATGATCATTCAGTTTAGTCTTATTAAAAAGGACTAAAATCTGACCCTTTGTACGTAATCCACATATATTTATGAACAAAAAATTATTTCGGTACTGTTAATTCAAAACCAAACACTTAAAGAGCGACTTGTAAATAACTCTATGTTTGTTTCGTTTTTTTAGTGTGTATTTTTGATGTTTTTTGTATTAAAAATGTAAAAAGATGTATTAGAAATGTAAAAATGTATGCTCGGATGGGACAATTATTATTTAAATATTTTAAAAATACATAAAAAAACCTAACAAACTTAAATTTTTTCAATATTCGATGGTACCTTATGATCTCTCACACATATACTTTGGTGCAAGCTATATCTAGCTAGATGAATTTGCGACCTCTAAAACCGGGAAGGAAAAAAGAAATAAACAAACACCAAACCCTAATAAAAGTTTTTGTAGTGTTAATTATATTAAACCTTGTACGTTTTCTTTACCTAATACAACAA